ACGCCAACAAATTGTCTCCATTCCAACGATGAATTGCCATCATGTTTCTGAACTTGTAAGAGCAAAAACCTCAAATATTTCTAGGCCAAAAGTTGAACTTTTCAATCCCGACAAAATTATATAGCTTTGATTATCATGTTATGAAAAAACAAGTGAGATTTAAAGGTTTAGGGTTTGGATTTAAGGGTTTAGGGTTGAGTCCCTTGAAGAGAAGGTATATCGTATGTGCTTTGTCTCTGTATATATAATTATTTATATAATAAATATTAAATATATTATATTAATTAATTTCATTTTCTAAAAGAAAAATGAGAAAAAAAATTACAATACGCCTGTCTGGACAAATTTTTTAACCGTTAATGGGAGAGACAAAAACCAAGCATTTTTGTATACGACGAGAGTTTTCTTACAATAGAGGTTTTTTAGGAACCCAATCCAAAAAAAAATAACAAACCATAGGGACCAAAATTGCAATTTACTCTAATAATAATTATTATTATTACAACTTTAAATAAATGCTTCACAACCGAAAGCTCCATTAATGATTCCAAGTGAAGCAAAGAGTATAAACAAACATACACCTTTTCCAGCTGGCCATATATATAAAAATTTAAAAAATTGCTAGTAGCCTATCATAACAACATCAAGGATGCCACCTTCTCAAAGAAAGCAGACACATTTAACAGCAATTTTTGCAAGCAAAAAATAAGACATACATAATATATAGCCGTGTAAGAATCATTTAAGCATAAAACCAATGAGAATCATTTACAGTTAGCTCACCTGGTTTTCTAAACGATAGCACAAACCTATGAACGATTGAGTGATTGTAAATTAAAAGGACCAAAATAACAACAGACTGTAAAATATAGTAACGAAAATAGCAATGAATTACAAAGCCAAAAAACGTACTTTTACTCTTTGGTGTTGTTTTTTTTTTGTCATAAAGTCTCTTATTAACATCTGATGTCTGACCGAATAAGAAGTTGAAGCATTCAGATTGTTTGTTTGTTTTCTTTTATAAAAGATGAAAACCTCCTACCGAACAACAGGACAACCCATGTCCAATTGATGTCTGATTAATGTTAAAGAAAGGAAACAGGGATGAAATCGGGAATGGAAGGGGAAAACAAAACGACAAGAAACACAATTAAAAACAAAAATGACTGGAGCATTGTTGCGCGTCGACGACTAGGGACGAGAAAGGAGGAAGGGGGCTGGAGCACTGACGGGATGAAGGGTTAAGATGGTGGCTAAATGGTGGAGGAGCGTAGTGGAGAAGATCGAGGGAGGGGTCTGCGAGATGCAACGGCTAGAAGGAGAAAATTGCTGGTGGGTCTAACTTGATTAAATTAGACGAATATGATTATGATAGTTTTCTAAAATGACGTCCCAATTGTTTAGTGTTGGCATTACGAAGTAGGTCATGAAACATATCGATTAAATGATGATTTTCTATAAACATATTTGATTTTAATATACAATACTATATAATAAATAATGAATATGTCTTGATAGAAAATACAATGACCTAATAGTAGAAAAATGTATTATAATAATACTACGATAAAATTAATGTTATAAGACGCCTAAAATATCTAAGGATCATAATAGAATATTTTATAAATTTTTGTTTATAGGACCAAACTATAAAGAATCATATATAAAGTGTTACAATAGGTTTATAAAATGTTTTTAGATGTTTTAACAAGCTTTTAGAATGTTCTTAAAATAAAGTCTCATATGAGCAATTTTATATGATATTTTTTATAAGTGCCATAAAACCCATCTTTTTATAGAACAATTGTGTTTATAGAACATTTTTTTTTCAAATAGTGTCGTATAAAATAGTAACACGACACTTTATTTTAAAAACATTCCAAAAAAAACTTGTTGAACTGTAAACCTATATTAACACTTTTACATAGGACGTTTTTTGATTTTGTTTTTATAAACTTAAGTCTTATAAAATATTTTATTAAAACATTTAGAAAATTTTAAACGTTCAACAAAATCATTTATGTGTGACATATTAACTGTTTATGAAGTTTCAATAACATTTATCAACTTTTTATAGTGAAATTTATGTTACAAATATATTTTTATTAAAATTTATGATACAACAGTTTAATAAATATCCTAAAGTTTTTAAAGGTAATTAAGATTTTTTTAAATACGTTAAATTTAAAACACAAAAAATATCATTTGAATGATATTTACTACAATTAAATATTGTTGTTAAATATATAATATTTATATATAACAAATAGAATAAATAAATTCACACACCCTCCTCATTTTTAGTAAAGTTTGAACCCTTAAAAATTGTTGATTTTATCCCTCAAGTTTTAAAATTACAAATTTTGTTACTATAGCTTGAAATTTATTTCTATTTTCATCCTTGAGATTAAACACTACTTTTAAGTATAAGGATAAAAATAGTAATGAATTATATGAATCAATGGGAAAGAAAATCGTAATTTGAAAATAACAAGGACAAAAATAGAAAATTTCAAGTAACCATAGGGACTAAGAACGTAATTTATCTAAATTATATTTGTTCATTGACCTTGACCGACTTCAAACTTGGATTACATGTTGACCCAGGTCTTATTTTGATATATTTGTATCATATTATTACTAGTTGTGTATCTGCGCAATGCGACGGGAGCCATGAATTTTAACGATTTTGAAGTTCCATTGATTTTATAAGATAAGATTTAACGATGATATAGGTTACACTTGGTCTTCACATATTAATACAATTTGAATAAATAAGAGTTATAGTTCCAATTACAGACTATCGATGAAAAAAATTGTATGACAGTTTAAAATCCAATATATTCAAAATCCAACATATTTAAACGACTCCACAAATGTATTCGATTTACACCAAGAACAAAGAACCAAAAAATTTGAGTTTTAAGATAAACACTCAAAACCAATAAAGAAAACTACAAATTTGACAGATCATAAGTCATGAAAAGACAAAAAAAGATGGGTTTTAGAATGAAATTTCAACTGCTTACACTCTTTCTTGTCCAGAAACTCAGATTAAGGTTGAATTAATACATGTATATATATATATATATATATTTCAAAAAAACCCAAGAACATATTAATTCAAAACATATTATACAGTGTAATTTGGACAGCCTAACCCCTAAAATATATAGTATATATATAAATAAATAACTATAAAAGTATAAATCGTAAATATTAAAAATATTTTTTCACAGTATATATAATATATAATAATATAATTAAGTCAAAAACTATTCAATATTGGACTCATTTCGAAGGTATTAACGAGATGATTATAATGGTGTAACTTGTTAAAATAAAAATGTATTTTTTAAACATGTTTTAATTGATATACGATTATGTATGTTAATTTGATAAATGTTTAAAATGAAACATTTAAAAGTAAATTAATTAATTAATTATAGAGGTATAAAGTGTAAATTTAAAATTATAATTTTTAAAAAGTCGGTTGTGAGAGAATGAGTGTATGTGAGGGGGTGAGTATATGTGAGGAGAGAAGTAGGTGAAAAAGTGAAAAAGTGAATACAAAAGGTATTTTGGTCATTTTATATATTAATACTTTAAGACTTTTGCTAAATTTGCTTAATAAGATAGTATAGATAAGAAAGATTACTTCTGTTAATTTATTATATATAAATTGTAATTTTTTATAACATGTATTTTTAGGCAATGAGTTTAAAATATTATAGTATCAAATGGAGTTTTTTTTTATTAACCTAGATATCCAATCCGTTATGCGAGCCGACTAATCCTAACACGACCACCTGTTTTGCAGATAGCCCGGAGTCACCGCATTTGAACTTCCGTGGCCAGAAGAATATTTTTATTCCTCATTGAATTTAAACTTGAGACCACCAGGTACTTTTGACCTTTAAGGCCAAATACAAACTAATCAGGCACCACCTTTGTGGTTGGAGTTTTAAATTCATATCATATAAATATTCCAAATTATAAATTCATCGAAGATATGTTATCATGTCATATCTTATGACGTTCTAAATTATGATGGAAAAAAAAAAGAAAATATTTATATGTGTGGATTTTGAAAATGATATTTGATTAGATTATTATTATGACTCTAAGTCGTTTATTAATTTTTATTTTTATTTTCAAATTGCTTCTTTTAGGAATAAAATAATTTATGAAACAAGTTGATTATGAAAAATGCATTATTTCTTACCTGTAACACTAGTATAGAATACTATTGGTTTATAATATATTAAAATAAGGTATGTGGTATGCAGCTTAGTTGGTAAAAAGATGAGGTGACTTTATCCAAATATACTACGTGTCATGGGTTAGCCTCAGTCGTTGAATGAGGCGAAAAATACCCTTATATTAATGTCCTTGAGCATATTCTATATGAAACCGATTAAAATTACTGGTAATCAACTTTTAGTTCAAATGTATCAAAATAAGACATCATAGTTTTGATAATATATATCAAAATAAGACTATGGGTCAATAAAGATGCAATCAGGTTTGACTTGGTCAAAGTCATTCAACAAATATAATTAATTAGAGTAAACTATGTTTTTATTTTTGTATGTTTTTTTTTTAAATTGTGGTGTAAATTCTTGTGATGTATAATTTATTGTTGTTTTCGTTTTTATAGTTTACAACTGATTGTTGTTTTCGTTACTTATACTTGTCGATAATAAACCACTGACGAAGTTAGTATGATGTATGAATTGCAAATTATAGGAACAAAAACAAAAATAAATTACAAATCATAGGGATGAAAACAACAACTTCGAAAGCATCGAACGGAATTCGCAGTTCTTAACAAACGAAAGAGACTAATTAAAAACATAGTTTAAGACCAAAACAAAAGGTTAAAACTTAAAAAAAACAAGCAAATTGATTGTTTTTTTAATATTATAAAGCAATTTAAGGAAATGGTGTGTGTGTGTGTATATATACGTACATACTTGTATGGAGGTATCACACCCAACACCTTAATTGATGGTTTTCAAAAGTCAGCTAGTCGGAAGATCAGAGCTTAAGTTAGGAGACCATATATATGTTTCTCCAGATTTGATGACAACGCCTCACTACGGTTAGTTCTTTGAGCAACTACTATACTCAAGTTTCGCTCTCCTTCTATAGTAACTATTGAATATTCATTTGTGAATGTATTTATATGCAGGCATCGTCATCGGGGAAGACAAAATCATTCATTATGTGAACCCAGTTGAGACGGGTGGTTGGGGTTGTCTTGGTGACTGGTGCACACCTTTTATGAGCTCAACTAGCGGCAGCAACAGTGGTGGTGGCGATGGCCATGGAAAGGAGCGAAAGAAACGTTGCCCGATATCTTATTGTGGACAGGAGAAAGTAGCCGGAAGTAGAGTGAGGTTGTCTTGCATAGATTGCTTTATCAACGAACAGAGATTTCTATCTCAATTGTCATATGAATCGGATCCCCCAGAAGAAGTGATAGATAGAGCTACTTATCTATATGAAAATTGGTGTTCCAAGTATACACTGAAGGGAATTGATAACGATAAAGATTTTGCAATTTATTGCAAGATTGCTCCATTTGATATTGATGGTCTGCCCAACTTTCGAAGTATAAACAGTCGGGGTTCCAAGAACAATCTGCGAAGCTTTGCACCAGCTGATGTTCCACTATTCGGAATAAACAGACCGAAGAAGAGATCTGGTGTGAAGATATGGTTAAGTAAGTACAAGAGTCGTTTGAATTCACAATGAATAAAAACCCACCTCGGAAATATTCAACCATTTGTGGTGTCGGGATGCATGTATTCATGAAGCTCCATCAATCAAGCAAACTTTCATATTTTTAATGTATTATCGTTATTATGTGTGTAGTTAGTTAATGAATTTGATATGATTCCAATGTCAAAACTTTATATCATTCATTGAACTATTGACGAAAAAAACCATCTCCGACGACATATCTCATCGCCGGAGAAAGTGCGGCCGGTGATTGTGATTACCGACAGATTACCGTCGGTGATAGTTATGATCCACCACAAATTTATCGGTAATTGCCGAGGAAAATCTAGTTTCCAATACATTAAGTTAAAGAATAGCCAATCTCGACTTTTAGCTAAAAACATATAATTAATATCAAATAATCTAACAAGTCGTCAAGGCTTGATTTACTTTGATCAGTCAATTTTTTAAGTTTTAAAAATACTACGATAAAATTATTGTTCTTTTCTTTTATATATAACTTACAATTTATTATATAGTTTTCCTCAATCATACATATTGATAATAAATCATTGACGTTATTAGTATGACGACAAAAACAACTATAAATATGGTGACTACGGCTAGAACGCAACGAAATGCAAACCACAAGGATGTTCAAAAGAAAAAAATCATATCCTGATTTTGAGGAAGCCACATGGACCTAAGGTGTAATTTACTCATAGTTTTACATAGAATTTCACGTCATCAAATAATATTGTCTTATATGCCACATCATTTGTCACGTCAACATGGTAACCAGTTAATGGTTAAATTAAATACCAAGATACTTGAATGTTTAAGATATCACGTCTTACATATTAAAATAAATGTTTTGAAAGTATATTACATTTCCATTTAGTTTTCCTAATTATTAGTTTACTTCCATTAATTACACCGTGTTCTAGAGTTTTTTTTTTTACGAAGGAAGGTAGGAGCGATTTATGAACTAATTACAAACAACAACGAAAACAACAACAACAACAATAATAATAAATATATTTAAAAAGAAAGTTGTTTGATGAAACGATAACACATACACCCCCACCCTGCAAATGAGTTTTTTAGTTATTTACACATTTTCCTTGCAGCTTCTCTGTTCTTTTTTACGGTCGCACTATCTGGTGCTGCATGACCGGTCTTGCAGTATTCTACGAAACCATAATTGGTACCAACGTTCGTTCCTTTATCCCTCAAGTTTTAAAATTACAATTTTTGTTACTATAGTTTGAAAAAAAATTACTATTTTCGTTCTTGCGATTAAATACTACTTTTATGTATAAGGGACTAAAATAGAAATGAAGTGTAAACTACAAGTACAAAAATAGATACAAAGTTTAAATCATAAGAACAAAAATGGTAATGAATTATCAACCAATGAGGATGAAATTCGTAATTTAAAAACTACAAGGACAAAAATAGAAAATTTCAAGTAACCATAGGGACTAATAACGTAATTTATCTAAATTATATTTGTTCATTGACCTTGACGGACTTCAAACTTGGACTACATGTTGACCCAGGGTCTTATTTGGATATATTTGTATCATTATTATAAGAAAGATTACTTGTGTTAATTTATTACATAGAGATTGTAATTTTTTATAACATGTATTTTTAGTTATAGGAGTTTAAATAATTATAGTAACAGATGGAGTTTTTTTTTATTAACCTAGATATCCAATTTGCTATATGAGCCGACTAATCCCAGCACGATCACCTGTTTTGCAGATAGCTCAGAGTTACCGTATTTAAACCTCCGTAGCCATAAGGGGATTTTTATTTCTTATTGGATTTGAACTTAGAACCTCCAGGTATTTTTGGCCTTTGGAGCCAAACTCAAATTAATCAGGCACCACCCTTGTGGTTGGAGTTTTAAATTCATATCATATAAATATTCCAAATTATAAATTCATCGAAGATATGTTATCATATCATTTCTTATGACGTTCTAAATTATGAGGGAATAAACAAAAGAAAATATTTATTTGAGGAGTCGGGGGTGTGAATGTGGATTTTGAAAATGATATTTGATTAGATTATTATGACTCTAAGTCGTTTATTAATTTTTTATTTTTATTTTCAAATTGCTTCTTTTAGGAATAAAATAATCTATGAAACAAGTTGATTATGAAAAATGCATTATTTCTTACCTGTAATTAATTAGGTTTGACTTGGTCAAAGTCATTCAACAAATATAATTAATTAGAGTAAACTATGTTTTTAATCTTGTATGTTTTTTTCTAAATTGTGGTTTTCATTCTTGTGATTTATAACTCATTGTTGTTTTTGTTTTTATAGTTTACAACCGATTGTCGTTTTCATTACTCAGACTTGTCGATAGTCAGTATGATGAGAACATCGAGTATGAATTACAAATTATAAGAACAAAAACAAAAACGAATTACAAATCATAAGGATGAAAACAACAACTTCGAAAGCATTGAACGGAATTCGCAGTTCTTAACAAACGAAAGAGACTAATCAAAAACATAGTTTAAGACCAAAACAAAAGGTTAAAACTTAAAAAAAAAACAAGCAAATTGATTGTTTTTTATATTATAAAGCAATTTGAGGAAATGGTGTGTGTATATATACACACACACACAGAGGTATGGAGGTATCACAATCGACACTTAAAATGATGGATTGCGAAACTCAGCTGGTCCAAATATCAGAGCTTAAGTTAGGAGACCATCTATATGCTTGTTCGGATATGCAAACAATGGGTGACGCTGGTTAGTTCTTTGATCAACTACTATACTCAAGTTTGTGAATATAGTAACTATTAAATATCCATTTGTGAATATATTTATATGCAGGCATCGTCATCGGGGAAGACAAAATCATTCATTATGTGAACCCAGTTAAGACGGGTGGTTGGGGTTGTCTTGGTCAGTGGTGCACACCTTTTATGAGCTCAGCTAGCGGCAACGACAGTGGTGGTGGCGATGGCCATGGAAAGGAGCGTAAGACACGTTGCTCGATATCTTATTGTGGACAGGAGAAAGTAGCCGGAAGTAGAGTGAGGTTGTCTTGCATAGAGTGCTATATGAAGGAACATGGCTATCTGTATCGGTTGATATATGAATCAGATCCCGTAGAAGAAGTGATAGAGAGAGCTACTTTTCTATATGAAAATTGGCATTCCAAGTATAAACGGAACGGAATTAGTAACAATCAAGATTTTTGCAATCTATTGCAAGATGGCTCTGATTGATATTAAAGGTCTGCCCAACTTTCGAAGTATAAACGATCGGGGTCCCACTAACAAACTGCGAAGCTTTACACCAGCTAATATTCCACGTTGGAATTAAACCGAATGAAGAAGAAATCAGGTGTGAAGATGTCGCAAAATAAGTACAAGGGTCGTTATTTTGGTTAATTTCGCCTCTACATATTGTATTCACAATGAATAAACACCCATCTCGGAAACTTTCATATTTTTAATGCATTATTATTATTATTATTATGTGTGTAGTTAGTTTATAATTTCAATATGATACCAATGTCAAAACTTCATTTAATTCATTGAACTACAAAACAAAGATGCTTCCTTGACGAAAAGATCCGCTGGAAAAAACCATCTTCGACAGCGGACCTCATCAGGGGAGAAAGTGCGGCCGGTGATTGGGATTACAAACGGATTACCGTCGGTGATGGTCAATTCACTCGTGATCCGCCACAAATTTATCGGTAATTGCCGACGAAAATCTCGTTTCCAATACATTAAGTTAAAGTATAGCCAATCTCGACTTTTAGCTAAAAACATATAATTAATATCAAATAATTTAACTAGTCGTTAAGGCTTGATTTACTTTGATCAGTCAAATTTTCAAGTTTTAATAATACTACGATAAAATTGGCATTATAAGAAGCCTAAGATGTCTAAGCATTATAATAAAAATATTTTATCAAACTTAGTTTATAGGAACAAACTATAAAGTATCGTATAAAAAGTGTTACAATAGGTTTATAGAACGATTTTAAAATAAAGTCTCATATTAGCTATTCTATATGATACATTTGATAAATGTCGTATAAACCCATCTTTTTATAGGACATTTGTGCTAATAGAACATTTTTTTTTCAAATAATGTTGTATAAATAGTAATACGACACTTTATTTTTAAAGCATTCTAATTAAAAAAACGCTTAATATCGTCCTGCAAACCTATTTTAACACTTTTACATAGGACGTTTTTTGATTTTGTTTCTATAAACTTAAGTCCTATAAGACATTTTATTAAAACAATTAGAAAATTTTAAGCGTCCTATAAAACCATTTTTAGTGTAATATTAACTTTTTATTAAATTTAAATAATATTTATCAAACTTTTGATAGTGAAATTTATGTAACAAATATAAATTTATTAAAATTGTGATACAACATCTAATTAATATCCCAAAGTTTTTAAAAGTAATTACATTTTTTCTATTAACCTGGATATCCAACCCGCTATGCGAGCCGACTAATCTCAGAGCAACCACCTGCTTTGCAGATAGCCCGAAGTCACCGCATTTGAACCCCCGTGGCCACAAAGGAATTTTTATTTCTCCTTGGATTTAAACCTGGGACCTCCTGATACTTTTGACCTTTGGAGCCAAACTCAAACCAATCAAGCACCACATTTGTGGTTGTAATTAAGATTTTTAAAGATACGTTAGATTTAAAACACAAAAAATATCATTTAAATGATATTTACTACAATTAAATATTGTTTTTTAAAGTATATATTATTTATATAGGTAAATAGAATAAATAAATTCACACGCCCTCCTCACTTTTAGTAAGGTTTGAATCATTTACCTCTTAGGAGACCAAAAACTCACATACCACTAGGACAAAGACCCTTTGATATCATACAAGTATAAATACATAAATTAATTCGTGAAAGTTAAAAACATAAAAATTGTATATAAATCTTCAAGATCTTCAAAGTATTTGATAATCCATTTTTCCCGGTTGTTAGCAGTGTTGTTGAATATTGGTTGCCTTCTGCGACTGTATCATCATAGATTTTAACAAGTTATCCATATATGTTGTATTTGGTTGATGTTATCCAAATAATTCTTCAACAACACGTAAACCTTGACCGGTTATAGTCTAAGTCTGTCCTTTCTGTTAGCGACTTGGGATCATGTGAGACCAAAAGTTTTTTATGAGACCCGTAAGACAAATTCTCAACCCTTGGATTAGATCTACAATCTGAACATTCATAAATGTCACTAGACTTCTCAATAATCACAAAATTGCTACCATGCAACTTTGTACCGTTAGATCATTAGCTTATAAAGTTGATCAATGAACATAAATTGGTTTTATGGGTCTCACAAAAAACCTTTGATTTCACATGAACCCAACTCTTTCTGTTAGCATCATGGATCTCGAATCTATGATCTAGTTTGGACGATTAGTAAATTACAAGTTATGGCGGCAATTTAAACACAAAAAAAATACATCAATAAAAATTACACATATTCCAATAAGGTTTGACTTGGTCAAAGTCATCGAAAAAATATAATTAATTAGAGTAAATTATGCTTTTATTTTTTGTAGGTTGTTACAAACTGCTATTTTGGTTTATGTGTTTTTATTCTTGTGATGTATAAATTATTGTTCTTTTCTTTTATATATAGCTTACAATTTATTATATTGTTTTCCTTAATCATACATACGATAATAAATCATTGACGATGTTAATATGACGACAAAAACAGCTATAAATTACAAACCATATGGACGAAACCAATAATATTGAAATCATAGAAACGATGAGGTTGCAATTCTTAACAAACGACACAGACTGATTACAAACATAGTCTACTCTATAATTTATGACTAAAACATTAAAAAAATAAAGCAAATTGATAGGGTTTTTTTATATATTATACAGCAATTTGAGCAGTATACATATATATATATATATATGTCTATTATGAATATATGCTGGTATCAAAAACCAAAGACTTCAATTGATGGATATCAAAAGTCAGCTAGTCCAAAGATCAGACTTTGAGTTAGGAGACCATCTGTATGTTTGTTTGGATATGCAAACATATGGTGACTATGGTTAGTTCTTTATTTCTATATATATATATATACTTGGGATTACGTGAGATCAACCAGTTTTCGTGAGATCATCTTTTTGCACTTGAAACTTCACAGTAAAACACTGTGAAAGTTACTTTCATAGTGTTTTTATTGTGAAGGTTCAGATTTTTTTTCGCTTTCGCAATGTTTTGCATTGAAGTTTCAAGTGTTATTTTGTGGTTCCACAGGTCTCACGAAAATATGTTGGTATCACGTGAACCCAATCCTATATATATATATATATATATATATATATATATATATATGTTATTCTTTTATGTGGTATATAGTGAATGACTAAATATTAATATGTGAAAAACATATATATTTATACGCAGGCATCCTCATCGACGAAGACAAAATCATTCATTTTGTGAACCCAAAGAAAGGTTACAGGGGTTTTCTTGTTCGTTGGTGCACACCTTTTATGAAACGAAAGACGTGTTGTCGGACGTCTTATTGCGGACAGGAGAAAGTAGCGGGAAGTAGAGTAAGGTTGTCTTGCGTCGATTGCTACGTTAAGGATCACAACTATCTGTATCGAATCACATACACCTCATCATATACCCCAGCAGAAGTGATAGATAGAGCTCTTTATCTCTATGAAAATTGGTGTTCAAAGCATAAACGGATGGGCATTAATAACAATCAAGATTTTGCAGTTTATTGCAGGATGGATATGCATCCAACAACAGTCTGGGAAATTCTGCATAAGATATTCCCCAGCTGTTTTAAATGGAATGAAGAAGAATTCAAGCGTAAGGATGTCGTAAATTAAGTACAAGAGTCGATATCTTCGTTAATTATTTGTCTCTAAATAAATTGTATTCATAATGAATAAAACACGTATGTATAAGTATTCAACCATTTTCATTAGGGTGGGGAGGCATGTGAAATTAATGAAGCTCCATCAATGATGTTATTAGTTCATGAATCCAACTGGAATATGTGCATATGATGGCTGTGTTAAACTTTATATAATCCATGGAGTTTCTAACAACATGCAAATAATTGAAATGTCTTTAATTAAACATCGAGATATATATATATATATATATATATATATTAGATCATGTGAGACCAAGGGTTTTTCGTGAGACCCGTAAGACCAATTGATGTTCATTGATCAACTTTATAAGCTAACGATCTAATGATCTAAAGTTGCACGGTGGCAATTTGTGATTATTGAGAAGTCTCGTCGCAATTTTGTGATTATGAATGTTCAGATTATAGATCTAATCCAAGGGTTGAGAATTGGTCTTACGGGATTCACGAAAAACCCTTGGTCTCACATGATCCCAAGTCATATATATATATATATATATATATATATATATTAGAGAGGGGGGGTTCATTTGAGAAGTAAATGAGTGATACTAACCTTTCATACAATCAAGATTGGTCAAAAATCGTGATTTTGACCGGTTAAAGATCACGACTTTGGTTGGTCAAGATTTGCGGCTTTGACTGGTCTAGCCAAAAATAATGTGTTTCGTAAATTTTTCAAATAGGGGGCAAACAAATGCATATGTGAATCCATAGTTCTTATGCGAATAAGTTAATTAGTTCATATTTATAATTAGTTTATATGTGAACACACATGTTTATATGTGAATCAGTTAATTAGTTCATATGTAAATTACATGGTTCACATATGAACATATAGTTCGTATGTGAATCACAGAGGTTCACATATGAACATATAGTTCGTATGTGAATCACAAAGGTTCACATATGCACGTGTTTTGCCACCTATTTGTAAAAGTGATGAAACCATCATTCTATCTTCCGCATACCATATGAGGAACTATCCGGTGCTTCAAGTCAAAGCTACAAATGTTGACCAAATGAAGGATTAGGATCACTTCTCTACATCTCAAATACTTGCCATTTCTCACGAAAAGATATGAGATTGGTGGGGCAAGATTTACTCACAGATTTTCCTCTACTCCAGCAGGTAGAGGTTGATAAAATAAAGACCCCTGGCTTGCAAGCAGGAAATTAAACAAACAAACAAACAAGCAAGCATAAAGTGCAGTGCTGACAACTAGTAGTTCAATGAAAAAAAAACCAAGACTAATGTACAGCAAACATGTCACAAAAATAGATACAACAGTAGACAAGAAATGTAGAAAAAACTAAGGAGCCATTTACCCAAATGCATACCCGGTAAGCATTTAGCATTAAGATTTAAACTATCACTTACCTTATCAGGTAAAATTTTGGTCCATCATATGCAACAATTTACCCGGTAAATGCTAACTGGTTAAGACTCTTTCTCCTTGCTACCAGGTAAGATTCTTGGTCCTTGACATGTTAATCCGGTAAGATAAGTGACCCGGTAAGCGCTTACTGGGTAAGTGTTTAATAAACAGCCCTAAGAAAGACAACCCTTATCAGATGTAAGGCCGTAATAACCTAAGCTTCAGTTGTGGTGCATGAATTCATCCCATCCCAATAGATATTTTCAAACAATTCTGTATCAAATCAATCATAAAATAATGATACAGCAATGCCCCATAGATACATACATAATTCAGTCTCACTTCATGTACTAATAAATATCATATGTTCATTGTACTTTGTTTATCGTACTTAAAGTTGTACCAAAAGATGTTGCAAAACCATCCATGTACTTCTTACAGAATCAACTACAAACGACTTGGTTTATTTCTAGCCATTGAAACACGTTGTATACCCGTTAATCCAGATAAATACGTGGCATACGCATATCATATATAGGGGATGACAAATAACCTGGTTTTCGAAACAGAAATGGTATTTCATCGAGATAAAAAAGATTCTACCACATGGAAGTTTTGCCCACAAACCCTATTGAAACTGGTTTTAACCAAATCCCTAATTAGAAAAAGAAATTGATATCATGAATTCATTTCAACAAAGAGACTGACTTGAGGATGTAATCCGGCTTCTTTAAGCGTTGAAGATAGTTTTTCTTGACCATAAAGAACACGAGGGAAGTTGGTGGCAAGAGTGTAAGTACCGATTTCTAAGCAACCTGAAGAATCAATAAAGTCGTATAGGGACTGTACTGTAGCCGTATGATGGAACCTCCTACCCTTGCGTTCTCCGTTTGGTAATCTCACCAATACCTAAAGATAGAAGATTGCCGTAAAAAATCAACTTGAATGCATATGGAAGGTGAGGAAGAAATAAATTACATAATGAAAAAGACATCGTAAGTTTACAGAAAACAAGAGTTATGGTTCTAGAGCCTGAATGTTGCAGCTATTCATTACTTTATTACTACAATCCTAACCAATTTAAAATTAAAGGCTTAGGGGCAGTTTGGTTGGCTTTCTATTAAGTCCCTGATGAATAAGCTGTCTGTGTGGATTAATTTGTCTGTATAGATTGCGAAGGTTTTTGTTTGGTTTTTTTTTCAATAGATGGAATGAGCGTGTTTTTAAATTGGGAGGGGCAGGTTCTGAAAAAACTTGGCTTCCTGCATAGAACTTCCTCCAAAAAGCTTATTGATTAAGCCACTTTCTATATCATTAAGCCACTACCAATCAGTCATGTATTGCTGACCAAATAAGGTGTGAGTCACATTAAGGTCATGAAGCTGCTAACCAACATGCCCTTAGAACAGTAGTAATCCTCCAGCTACCCCAAAATAAATGTCCACATTTCCATTTTAGTTTGGCGCAAACTTTTGTGCACTTTCAAAATTCAGTGTCTACTTTCCAATTTGACCGTTGATTATGAGAGCAGAAAGTTATTACTCCTTTATTATTAAGGGTAAATTGCCATTTAGTTAATTAAAAAAATGTAATAATTACACATTTCTAAAACTCTATGCCTTTTCATTGTGGACAATTATTTTGGGACGGAGGGAGCAGATTGCTCTGAAAATATCTAGATACAGATCCCAAGGCTTATTGTAGTAGGCTTTCGGTTTCTGCTTTGATATTAGTTGATCTTTGGCCTGTGTCATCTTGATCAGAGTTCTCTCTCTGCCATAGGGTTCCCTGAATTTGGCTCATTTGGGGCATACAACAATGCCCTTCTATGTTTCTCTTTTAATGATACAGAATTCCATTTATCCCATTCTTTTCTGTTTATACCAAGTTTCCATTTTTATCTTTGAAAGTCAATGATAAATTAACCATTTGTGTGACTCACTCTCTCCAGATTAGTCATTCATGTGATTCTTGCAGTTGCTTAATGAACATTTGAGATATTAATGGATTTGTATATAAAAGTATGTTTCAAATTTTAAGGGTTTTATAGATTTCAGCTTATAGTCATTAGAAGTTTTTCTAGAGAAGGCAAGAGGCAATGGGAATTTGAGCTCATGACCTCCAAGGTATATTTCAGAATTTAAGAGGCAGAGGAACAACTTTTCCAGTTTTGTTGGCCAAGTAAATAATTGGTCATATATCAAACCAGTACAGTCCTACCATAATTCGGTTCTCTTTTCATTGGTTATCCATTAATACGATATTTTCAGGAGGGTATTGAAGCATTCTAGTTGTCCAAAATAGCCACCACCCCCCCCCCTCCTCCTTCACTTTATAGCCAACTTTTCAACTTATTGACCAAAATAGCGAGATTACGCAAATGGCACTTGCAAGTTGTGTAACTCACTTTTTTCAATATAATATTCAGAAAAAGTAGACTTGGATAAATGCTACCTGAAGAGTGTGTCCCATATAGATTGTCCATGTAGACATTACGCATGTAGCACTTTATGCAACTTGCGTAATGTCTACTTTTCCTGAATATTATATTGAAAAAAATAGGTTACGCAAGTTGCTCAAGTGCTAATTGCATAATCTCGGCTATTTCAGTCAGTAAATTGAAAAGATGGCTATTTTGGACAATTTCCCGATTTAAAAAGCAAATGGATCATGCATTAACATGAAAATGAAAGGTCGGACAAGGGGAAAGAAATACCTGTGTAATATCAGGCCCTTTTTCAGGTTCAGGGCCCAAAGACAAAGCTTTCTCCTCACGCAGTTTAACCAATGCAGCCTCTCTCTCAGCAGCTTCACGCGCTGCTCTTTCACGGGCAACTTCTTCTTCCTTCTGTTTCATCTCAGCTTCAGCAGCTTCCTTCGCTAGTCTTTCTTGTTCTTCCTTCCTCTGGCGTTCCCTAGCCTGATGTGCCATAAGAAATTTAAGCAATCAAAGTGATTAGTGTGAATCTCTACTCTTAAAGAGGAAAAGTAACAGGAATGGTATAGTACTCCTTCCGTCCCAAAATAAGTATCCACGTTTCTATTTAAGTTTGTCCCAAGTGTCCACTTTCAAAAGAGATATTTATAATACTAAAATTTCCATTTTTACCCTTAATTATGATGCACAAATATTTAGAAGTTGATAATATAGAAAAATTCATTAGTGGAATAAGTATACATTTCTTAAACTATGTCTTTTATCAAAGGTAAAATTGTTATTAAGCTGATTAAAAGGGTAATAATCATACATTTCTAGACTGCATGCTTTTTTATTGTTGACACTTGCTTTTTAGGACGGAGGAGTACTTATATCATCAAAGACAAAGTGGGATGTGAGAGATCACATAAAAGGAATATTAGTTGTGGAAGCCCGAGAAGAATATAAGGGTAAAGACAAAGGGCAATGGTGGACCTACAAGGGGATTTGTGTGTTGGTGATTTTAGTATCATCCATCATTTGGTGTATTTGGAAAGTGATTTTCGATACACGATCCAGGAGTTTTATCCAAGTATTATCAAACCACAAAACCCAGATTCCCCAACATTGTGTGTGGGTAACTATACGTCCACAAGTACTAATGATCTAGTTTAATCACTCAACCTATATTTTCCCGTGTGTTTGTGCATTCTAGCTGCATTGGATGGTGTCATTAACAAAGAAATAGGACAAGTTAAATCATAACATACTTGGTCAGCTTCAAGTGCAGCTTGATATGCAGCATCTTGTTCCTCCCTCAAACGTATGTTGGTTCTACGTTCCTCGGCATCAAGTCTAGCGGCAACAAGGACCGGGGAACTTTCTTCCAGGACTCTCTGCAACACTGTAAGCATTTCTTCAGGCGACTTAGGCCCCTCAACCTACAATATAGTAGAAATAAATAACATAATAGCAAAAGCAAGATTGTTCTATGTGAATAGCATCTTGTTTTGAAGGAAGACAATCAAATATTTTCACACAGTGATATGATATGGGAAGATCATTGTAGAATATGAATGAAAATAATACAAGGAGCTAGCTCAATATCACTCCCCTTAGTTTGTATTTAATCACGATATAAACAAGTACTTATTCCATCTTTCTTAATTCTTATGTCTGCCAATCGGAGCTAGTCACTGCTTGAAGTTAGCACATAACACTCACTTTAATCCATTCAACTTCTCTCAGGGTGCATTTGGTACGTGGAGAGGACTGTCAAGGACAGGACTGACTGGCGGGAGCAAGGTTGGCAGGTGAAAGAATTGTGGAAGGTATTAAGTCTTTAATTTGACATAGGTTAGTAATATGTCTATTTGTCCCATATTTTTGTTCCACCTATTTGGGTGGGACAAAAAACTGCTTTTTGTGCCACTCTAACCTGTCCTGCCCCAGTCTAATTGTTGCACCAAACATGGGACAAGGTTTTGTTTTGTCTGTCCCTCGTACCAGACACACCCTCAGTAACCAAGGGACACTGCATGCGCTCTATGAATGCTTCAACCATTGGGTTTTACTCGAGGCAAACATACTATCGTATTGTTCAAGGTAAACATACTATGGTATCTTCAACCACTCAGCTAAATCAATAGTCTTCCTTACTGTTTCTGTTGATACTTTATTCAGAAATACCACTAATCCCAAGTGCTGCACTGTCCGTGTGGACATGAATGTCACACATGATTAAGGTGCAAAGTGTAAATGCACAATAGTCATATTCTACCCTGGGCACACAGGTCTATGTAGGCCTAGGCTCAAGAAACAAAAGTGAATGTTATTGAAGCAAGTCCCACGCTATATAAGATAACTGATAAAATACATTATTTTCATACTTCCATGTCTTCTTTTATGACGAAAGTCAAAATGACCATATTCTGTACACATCTCCAAAATTAATCATTTATGATCTAAAGCAAATATAAAGTTGAGAATAAACGCTAGCACCACATATATGAGAAAGAAAGATGAGGACAACAAATATGGAGGCAAAGGTTTACTAGCAAGCCATGAAAGCAGCACCTTCCAGCCAAGTCCCATAAGAGCAATGAAAATGTGGTCCTTTTCATCTGGGCTGCAGAATTATTAGAAAAGACCCATAACTGCTGTGTACACATATTCTTTTCACAAATGCAATGTTACATTCCTTGAAAGAGTTTTCCCCTCTCAGAAGTACTTTTTATTTCAAACAAGGCGATCTGTGAATTTATTTGTGAGTAAATCAATGGCAACCACCCACATTAAACATCAAATTTACCATTTCCTCTTTTCATGAAGAGGGAATGTGTAATTATGATAAAAGAATGTGTTTTACTTGCATGTTTTTTCCTACCAAAAGAAAATTGCTGAGTTTGCTAGTAACAAACAAATTTTCGCTTTCTCACATTGAATATTTCTACAAAACTGGAAGACCATTCTTTTGAATTCTAGGAAGATCAATAGTGAAAACTAATCATGGAATCTAAAACTGAGGGGGTGTTTTTTGCAGGTGGGTTTTGGATGATACGGAATAGGAATGGTAATGAATAAAGATGATCGGTCGTGTGATGGTTATAGTGAAATGACCCATTACTAACATTCCCGCTTAATTCGAGGGGAATGAACCTCAAGTGGCACTTGGTTAAAATCAAGAAACGGGAATGTTAGGTAGTAGTAATGGATATTCTCATTGTTGAGGATGTTTTATTCATACTAGGAATCATCATCATTCTGATAGATGAAACTTTGCTTTTGCACACACTCTATAATTACTGAAATGTTTTTCTGAAATATTATGGGTTTCCTAATACTTCCCTTTTAATCAGGCCAACCAAAGTTTGTATCTCCTAAAGACAAAATCATGGCTTCAAAATAATCACCAAATGCAAGTACCAATGTACCATGGTTAATATTACTTACAAAAGCATTACATACCAATAGAGGGTTCTTGTATCCAGAAAACTGATCCTCAAATCATGTCTTGAAGCATATTTTGTATTGTCTTCTGAAATACAAGGCTTTTTTAAGTAATCTTAGCTTAGGATTGGCTTGATATGTAAGACTTCTTGCATTGTCTTTTGCTGCTAACTAAAGCATCCCTTAACATTGATTTCTATGGTTTTTGTAAGTAATACTAACCACAGTATTTGCATTCGGTGTCTATTTGAAGCTATGGTTTTGTGTTTAGATGATGCAAACATCGGTTGGCATGATAATGCGGTGGTAAAATTGCATTAGTATCATGCATCAGAAAACCCATAATGATACACATGTATTAGAAAACAAATTTGCATCAACTATAGTGTGCCTGAAAACAAAGCACTATCTAGACAATGATGATGATTCTTTGGTATCGACCAAGCATCATCAATGCAATATCAAATACCCCATTACTATTCCCCAACATTCCAACTCCTATTCATATTCGTTGATTTTAATCAAACTCCCCCTGAATGATCATACCC